CGCTTTATAATTAGAAGCGCTGATAGAGGAGTCAGTCCTGATTGTCTGCCGCTTTAATTTAATGTGCATATAAAGAAGGAAGCAGTGTAATCAAGGTTCAATTAGCCGATGACTAAATCTCTCCCACCCCTGCAGCAGCCGTCCGCTCCCATCCCACCCCACGGCCCCCTCGTGTGGCCACCAACAAGGGCTACTTGTGCTTTCCATTCGCGTAATCTGCTATAATCAGGAAACGTAGGAATCTTCCAGCCATATGGCCACATCACATGTGTCTCTTATAAAGACACGGCAATGAATCTCCCACTTATGCGGATGCATGTCACATGTGCGCAGAACGCGCTTCCATACTGATAGAATTAGCATGAGGAAACCGCTAACCAGCGTTATGTGTCTGATGCGCCTCAAGTGCTCCATATTTCCTGCGAGACATTTAGGGAATATTAATCATAATGTGATTAATTTTCCCCGTCCGCTCGTTGTTTTGGCGGTTTGTGCTGATGTCGCCATGTGAACTGTGTTTAAACTCACACGGATATGAGTTTGTGTGTCACTTCTGTGTGTGTTTAAGCAGCTCTGGATGCTCTGATTGGTTTAGCAGCCAAAGGGAGTCAAAGGGCAGCGTAGCGTATCGAGACGCAACGTGAACCTGATGCTGGGAAGGATGCTTTCTGTCGGCTGAGAGGGAAGACTATGTGTGGGGCTTCCTGGAAAACTCTTCTCCAGCCCCAAACACTATTTCTTCTTTTGTTTTATTCCTTTCTTAATCGGTTTCCCAGTTTTTTTACCTTTTCACCAGACCTCATGCTCCATGTTGTTTAAAGAGTGTTTATTTTTCTAAGCTAGAATGTAGTCGAAGGTGACCTGTTTGCATTACTAGTGTATGTAGCAAACTATTTTTTAAATACATTTATTTTTTTAATATTTTGATATTACATTTATTTATTTATTTATTTTTTCTTTATTTTATTTTATTTATTTTTTTTAAATGAGGTGTTATGTGATAGTTGGTCAAGAAATACTAAAACAAAACAATTTTATTATTTTATTTAATCATTTTTCTATATTTATTTTCAGGGTTATTATGTGATACTTGGTCATAATAATCTAAAAAAACATTTATTTATTCATTCATTCATTCATTCTATCATTCATTCATTCATTCATGCATTGCATTCATAGGGTTACTATGTGATTATTAGTCATAAAAACCTAAAATAAAAAATGTATATATATATATATATATATATATTTTATTTTATTTTATTTTTTTTTTTACCCAAATGCTGGGTTCAGCCTGCTGTTGGGTCATTTTATTGGGTTATTTTTAACATGTTTACCCAGGTGCTGGGTATTTTTTAAGCATGTCTCTTAAAAATACAAAAGTTTTTGACATGGTAGTTCTGTAGTATTATTTGTCATGTGCCATGGCACATGAATAGATTAATCATTTATTACCATTGTATTCCCATCTGATACCATTGCTGTACTATGGTACAGCCATTTCAACCCTGTAAAGCCTGACATATTAAATAATAATTATTTTTAAAGGAACAGTTTATTGAATATTTAGACAGAATCTCAATAAATAAATATATAAAAAGTTTAAATTAATGTGATACATCGGGCTTTTATGGCTCATATGAGAGAATATAGAGCTCATGCTCAAGGAGAAAAAAAAGAAACTCAGTTTTATTCAAAACTGAACAAAAATATGAAATTTGGTGTAGTTGCTGGTATTTTTATGCCCAAAATAAGATGCAATTCTGATAGCTTTTAATGTAAATTCATTAGACTTTATAGCAGTATAGCGTCTTAGTAAGACGCTATTTAAATGCTTAGTCTATGTATTTTTTTTTTAGGAGAAAGGGTATCATATACTTCGATACAATGATGATTGAGATATTAATAAATAAACGCTCCTCAAAAGCATCATATTTGACTCTGACATTTTAACAATATGTCTAGATAATCAAGTAAACCGGTTGAATCAGTCCAGTATGTGTTCATCTTGAAGGATTACTGACCATATAAAAGTTATTTTTACATTTAATTCATAAAAACCTTTAAAAAAAAAAAAAAAAAAAATGTTTAACTATTAATCGGATGACAGAAGGCATGTGGTAGATTGTTTACAACATAGTTTTGTTATGGTTATAAGGTTAAAAATTATTTTGAAATGTCCATAAATTACAAAAACATTTTCATAAAGACACAGACTAGTCCTCTCTCTCTCTCTATCTGTATTTTTTTTTTCCCACTTACAAAAACCACCTGCAGAAACACAAGGAAACAGCATAATACACTTAATAAACATACTAAATGATCTTATAATGAAATAGTTAGCTCAGTATTAAAACAACAGAAGTAAAAAAATCCCGACTTGGAAAAACAAGCGTGTTGACGCTGCCCACATACATCCACTGACCGCTTGATTACTGCTGGACTTTAAAAAAAAAAAAGTATAATTTTCCCTGCAGGCATATAAATTGAGCTCCATTTACTATACCACAATGACACTGCAGTACATTGAAAAGAAATATCCTTTGTGCCAAACAAAAACTATATGGCAGAGTTGGATCTTGACCATGCAATTTATGGATTTTATTGTGGTTTCCAGCTTTCAGACATATGGTGTTGTTGCACACAGAGTTATAATGAAGTAATCTGGTTCACGTCCAACACTCTTAATAACCACTGATTGATGTCACCGAGGCCAGTGTATTCCCATTCATTCTTTTTACAAGATTCAATTTCACTCATGCATGTAGCTATGAGCAGTACAAATACTCAAAATATAGATTCACCAGAGGTTCACGGTTCTCTGTGGGCCATTAAGATGTCTTGTCGCAGTTTTTGTCACTGCAGATGGAGGATGTTTCAAAGCACAAGTGTGGAGATAAATAATGGCAGGAATGATAAATAAAGCAGATATACTCAATACATCCCTTGACAGTTCACTGCTTTGTGAGACAGAGGGGTTTGTTGGGACGTGTTTGGGTGATGGAAGCGGGGACTACTAACATAAACAGCTGAAATCACTTCTGTATTATACAGTGAGAAACACGCTGGCTTTGCATTCATCTGCCACATCTGGTCTTGGTTATTTACTGAGAGTCAGTATAGATGTGAGAATGTAAATTACATGTTTTGTGTGGGTAGTCAAATGTACAGTGTGAGATTGTTTTTACATTGTAATAAACTTTAGTCAAGTGCTAATGGATATGTTTATTCATAGAGGCAGAATACTGCCAATGATTCAGAAAAGTCTGAAAAAAATGGCATTATGTTCTTTAAAATCTGTCAAATAAAAGCTTAGTTTACTATTTTAGTAAAAGGGTGAATCTCACGAAACCATAGTTCATATTTCACCCCAAAATTACAGCCCCAAAATCAAAAGAAAGCATAGTTTAAGCCTAATTTAAGCCTTTACTTTTTTGACATTATTTTAACATTGTGCATTGTGACAATAATACCTCCCTAATTCCCACCAGTATAACAAATATATTAAAAAAAAATCAAAATAATTATTTAAATATTAAATATATCTTAGTTTTGATATGTTACATACATTATAATTATATTATTAAATGTAATTGTATAATATAATATAAT